CTGTACAAAGCCATTGTGTAGCAACTCTGGGTGATATGGTTACAGACCTTGACTTTGCCGATGATGTTGCTATTCTATCTGAGTCTTTGGAAACCTTAGTGGTGGCTCTGGATGCATTAGTAATGAAGCAAAGCCCTTGAGTCTAGAGTTTTTGGGGACTTGCTCGGAGAACCTGTTCGGTCAGTACATGCTTGCAGCGAGGATATTGAAGTCACAGAGAGCTTTACATACCTAGGTAGTGTAGTTCCAAGAAGACCAAGAAGTCAGAAGTCTGGCAACAGGGGTCATGAATCACTCTCGACAAAAGTATTTGGAGATGCCGGTACCTGTGCAAAAAGACCAAGCTACGGGTTTTTAAGGTCCTGATGATGCCAGTTTTGCTATACGGTAGTGAAACCTGGACATTATCCTGTGCTTTGGAGTCTCGTCTTGATACCTTCTGTAATAGGTCCCGCCCGGATCTGGCCACCTCCTTCAAGCCTGCCACTAGGTTGTACATATATATATATATATATATATATATATATATATATATATATATATATATAATATATATATGTGTGTGTGTGTGTGTGTGCGTGTGTGTGTATGTCTATTTATGTGTATTCGTATGTATGTATATGAATATATATATATATATATATATATATATATATATATATATATATATATTATATACATGTGTGTGTGTGTTTCACGTATATTTATGTATATATATACATACATATATGTGCATATATGATATATATATATATATATATATATATATATATATATATATGTATATATATGTATATATATATATATATAGAAAAAATAATTTTTCATATATTCAAATTTATCATATTTTATACTCTTTTATAAACCATATTTATTTAAATGTAAATGTACACCTATTTTTTTGCATTTACTGTACCGTTAAGGTTTTGCGGGTAGCGTAACCAAACGGTCTTTAAAGGGCATATGTGAAGTAATTATCGTGCATTGTTTTTTCTTTGAATATTATTCAATAATGTATGCTTAGCCTATTCATGCAAAAAAAAAAAAAATCGAAGAGACCCTCTGGTATCCCCAAAAATCCAATACCAACGCCCTTAGGAACGAAGATGCAAAACTCGGCGGTCTTCGGCAATCCCGGTTGTGACGTCATTCCCAGGACCAGGGAGAATCTTGTTGAATAGCGTGATACACACAGTGCACCGCGAGTCAAGGATATCACGGTATTGTCCCAGTTTCAAGCTATTAAAGTTTGTAACAAAGGATGCTGCAGCATTGTGTAGCAATTCATTGTTCCCATTCATTCATGTCACCAGTTATTTGAATGGCCAAAAGACCGCGACAGAGCAAGGAAGTGGACACGTTTTGTGCATGCCAAGCAGAGCAACTTTCAGCCTGTGCCAACCAGCGTACTCTGCCTGATTGCTTTGCGATCAGAAAGGCTTACGACATGGGATTTGCAAAACGGTAGGCCATTTCCAATTTATATTTGTCATGATCACAACAGCGCAAAACAAACTCTGAAAGAGCGGTTTTGCTTGGCGGCGTAGCAAACATTCATTGCATGGGTATGTGACCAGTGTATTGCAAGTGAGCACGTATTACTACACAGAAATAAATACCGATGCCCCTCCACTCGCGAATGCGGCACGGGTGCAGACAAGAGATTCAAGAAATTTTGTACCATACAGAAGCAGGATCATATGTTCGACTATAAAAAATAATTTAGAAAATTACCATTCATTCATTCTCTTTGAGTCTCGACGCCACTCCATGTCTGGCTGGTTTGGCACAACTTTCACGACATCCACAGCGTCGGGCTCGTGCATGTACGGTCCAACAACCATCAACCCTTGATATTCCTCTTCTTCCAACTCTTCAAAGACGTGGGCACCCTCTGAAGAACTTTTACTAATGTCCTCGTCGGAATAATCTAATAAAACTTCACTGCCGCTGTAGTCTTGTAGTGAGTCCGCCATGTACAGTGTGTTGAATGCAGAGTAATGTGATCGTGTTCTGGAATTGACGTCATACATCCGGGTTCCGGATTTTCGCGGGAGAATATAACTTGACTTCGGAAAATCGAAATAAATCAGTTTTGGGGAATTATTTTCAGATTTCCTTTTTTACTCTTATTAGAGAGATGGTTTGCGAACTAATTCTCCCTTTTTAAAATTTTCAGTTGTTACTTCACATAAGCCCTTTAAGGCTCGTGGGGCTGGGAATGAATTCACTCCTCTGTTAAGTGTGCCAAATATTATCTGTCTGTCTGTCTCTCTGTCTCTGTCTTCCTTTCTCGTTCTCTCTCTATCTCTCTATCTCTCTCTCTCCCTCTCTCTCTTTCTCTGTCTATCTGTCTCTCAGTCTTTCTGTGTCATTCTCTCTCTCTCTCCCTCCCTCCCTCCTTCTCTCTCTCTGCATTTAGATTCATTTACACAATACAGTTTCTGACAGGGAAAAAAGATATAAGATGTGTGTGTGCGTGTGCACAACTCACCAACCC